GCGCTCCATTGACGCTCTTGGCGAAGCCTTCTATATTCGCCATATACTAGTAATCTGGTCGCATCTCCTTTGCCCTATCCTCGGATGGACTCTGATGAATGTAACAGACCGCATCTGGGTTCTTGTCGCCTCGAGACTGGTTGTCATCGTGCCCTTACAGGATGCGCTCCATCGGCAGTCTTGACAAAGCCTTCTATATTCGCCATATACTAGTAGTCTGGTCGCATCTCCCCCCATGCTCGGATGGACTCGGTTGAATGAAACTGACCTCATCTGGGTTCCTATCAGCTCGAGACTGGTTTTCAATTTCGCCACTTATTTTTCTTATTCAAGGCGATACAGGCCAGTCCTGACCGACCCGCCTACGTACCATTTTATGAAATCCGTTACACAATGCCATATACAGCTGACATTTATTTCGGCCATGTTGATGTCGGACTATATTCCATTCTGTACCGCACATGCAGGCCAGTCCTCCCTGTATTTTTCTGATGCTATTTTTCTGAGTGTTTTTTTTCTCCTGTTAAATTACTACAATCATTTTTAAATTTTGCTTTGGAGTTTTTTTTACCCCTCGTTTTTTTCATTTTCATTTTGCTTAACGGACTTCTTATCTCAAAAACTATGTATTGCACTTTGTACAGATTTTGCCTACCTCGTCTAAAATTCGCATGTAAATTTATTTTTACTTGCTTTGATGGGACCCCGACGGGTCTTTAATAAAATAATTGAGTTGAATTGAAGTGTGCATGGCCGCCTCGGATATGTGGTCCCGCCTCGTCCCCGCCGGCTCATATTCATGTATACGGTTTGAGACATGAGACGTTAGCACCTGATCCCGTCCGATGACGACGAAGGTATCGTCCACATACCGAGTCCAGAATTTCGGTCTGTGGTGTTCGAAGACGAGCGACTCTAACCGCTGGCGCCTCCAATTTCTGACCGCTAATTCGGGCACCACCGTCTATTCCTCAACACAATTCCTGGAGAAGCGTAAAGGAGTAAGTCTCTTGCCAACTGAGATCATGGTATCTTTTGATGTCACGCCCCTCTTTATTTCTATCCCTCAGGATCTGGCAATCGAGACCGTCGAGTTACTCTTGCGAAGCAAATACAATGAATCGGAGAATCGTTTCGGACATGCCCAAGTCCTTCAGCTCCTGAAGTTCTGTCTCAGGACGTACTTCACGTTTGACGGAACAATCTACGAGCAAGTGAAGGGAACACCAATGGGCTCGCCGATTTCGGGATTCATCGTCGAGGCGGTCCTACAGCGGTTAGAGTCGCTGGTCTTCTAACGCCGCAAACCGAAATTCTGGGCTCGGTATGTGGACGATACCTTCGTCGTCATCGAACGTGTTCAAGTGCTAACGTTTAAAGAACGTCTGAACAGCGTCTTCCCGGAAAAACAATTTACGATGGGGGCATAAGAAAATAACCAGCTGGCATTCAATGATGTCCTCGTCTGTCGCAAAGATTGTGGTGGCCTAAAGATCAAAGTGTTAAGAGATGCGACGAACACAACGCAAATACTGAACTTCAACAGAAACCACCCAATCAGCCACAAACGTAGTTGTGTAAGGACGCTATTTCGGCGTGTTCAGACGCACCGCAGTGAACTGGAAGACAAGGTTGCTGAATCCCAATATCTGCGACGGGTTTTCAGAGAAAATAGTTACCCGCACAACTTCGTCAACCGGTGCCTGCGCAAACGAGACGAGCGACAAAATCGCACCAACCCCAAATTTTAGCGAGCGATCCCGTACATCAAGAAAGTCTCCGAGGCCGTTAATCGCCATCTTACACCAATTGGGGTTGGAGTTACCCACAGACAGGAGGCCACCATGAAGCGTCAGGAGATGAGACCAAAAGACCCACTGCCACGGCAAGAGACATCTGGAGTCGTTTACCGGATCTGGTGCAGTTGCGGACAAAGCAACTACGTCGAAGAAACTGGAAGACTGCTCCAGACGCGAATCGCCGAACACGTGGCAGCTAAAAGGAGAAATGACGCCAACTCTCGGGTCGCGGCCCATTCGACGAGACCCGGCAAAACATTCAAGTTCGATGAGGCCGAAATTCTCGCGAGAGGGGATAATCGCGTGAACCGCAAGTTGCTTGAGTCATGGTTCACGAGACCTCAGTCTATCAACAAGTGCAACGACATCCCTACTCCATATTCCGTGCTAAGGCATAGGCTGGCCATGGTAATTGACCACTCGGGGAGCGCGCAAACCGGTGAGCCAGATGGCCGAGCAATCATCACGACAGCATCCGACACGGGGGATGGCATTCCGGCAATTAACAACTTGCATGCCGGCCATCAAGCAATTAGCGCACCAGCGGGCAACAATCCTTGATGAAGGGGAGCACGGTTAATTGCTGTAGGTATGCGGTAGAATAGCGACCGCGTCCTATAAATACTGCAACTTCCTGTGTACGAGTCACCCTTTTCTGCCACTGTCTCCGATGATGGGTTAAAGTGAGAATCCGAAACGTCAGGCGAATAAAGCCATTGTTCCAGCGATCGCTTCTTCTTCTTCTTCTTCTTCTTCTTCTTCTTCTTCTTCTTATTCTGGAGTACAACTTTTCTTTCGAGGTAGCCAACCCTGTCCTGAGTGTATGCTAGCTGCGTATGTAAGGCCATCGCCGGCTGGTGTACTACGTGTATCTGGTATTTTTTAGTTGTCTCTCGACTAGTTCAGATGCATTTTTCACGCATGGGGAGTTTACCACTTGGTTGGTTTTGATATCCGAGCGCCCGTAGCATTGGAAATGCATTTTCCCTTCAGTTACCGATGCCTCATGCATTGATGTATAAAGTGATGCGGGCACCCACTTTGGGAGGAAAGTTTGTTGAGGTATTTCATTTCTATTTAATTTAATTTAATTTATTAAATGCCAGTTTACAGGCATTGTCAAGGGAAGCGATTAAACACAAATCCGACCGGCAGTGAAAAAAACTCCTGAGCTAAAGGGATAAAAATATAGTTGATGGTGGTTTTTATGGTTTGAAGGGTTCAGGAGAAAAAAAACTGCTGGCGGTAGATTTTCGACCGTCAAGAAGGGGGGTAGGGGTTGCACGGTATCGGAGATTATCGGACGTCAATTCCTTTCATGAAGTTGGGGATAGTCAAAGTAGAGGCGTTGAGGAACAGCTGGTGAGACTTGCCATAGTGTTCAGAGACCACAAAAGCCATCGCAACGGTAGAGTCGATCAGTGGATTCAGAACCCAAAATTTGTGGGAGCTTTTCTGAATGCAAAAATCGAGTAATAGTTCTCTTAAATAAAGGATAATTTTGCAGAGTTTTCACACTCATGGGTAGTTTATTCCAAATAGCAATTACATTTA